TTGCCCAGGATGCACCACGTGGAGGTAAGTCTATCACACCCCCCTATTTCATTATAGGGTTCAGTAAAACCATTGGAAGTCACTAAGCCAGAATAAAATGCCATCTTAGGCCTATTCTGTGTGATTGAGCAGTTGTCTAGGTAACAATGCATTGATCCCGGCTATTAGGGAGCATAAGATGAATTTATTTGGTGACTCTTTAACTTATTTTTCTTCCTGGCTTTACGTAAGGCTTGAGTATACATCATGTTTAATAATAAATCTCATCAGTTCGCATCCATTATAATGGAAAGAAAGGCACAAAGTCGTCAAATTAGTATTTATTGGCCTGTTAGCAAAGTTAATGGATGTTCCATTTCTCAATAGTAATTGGGGGGGGGGGGGGGAATCCTGATTGGTGCTATAATTTTTTCGTATTCCCCCCACTCCCCTCTGTTAGTTTACTTTCGGCATCGGTGTTACCTTCTCATTTCTAGAGGGATATGTGTGTATTTGTGGCGTTGCATTATAACTATTTCTAACTCTCATCTTTTATCACATCGAGGAAAGTGTCCATGATACCTTTCATACGAGCAAAACGTTTAATCAATATAGGTGGTCAGTCTGAGTGTCTTACGTGCATCTCAAAACCTTTTCGTGAGATGGGATAAACATATTAATTTATTTATCTACATTACCTATAGTCGCTTCCCAGAATCAAAGACGTCTCAAACTTTGTAAGGGAAATGTTACCAGTGGTAAACTGGGATAAAGGGAAAACATCATGGAACCACTCTTATGAAAGAAAAAAACGATTATTTTAACCCCCTCCCCTCCCTTCCTTTGTTGACCTGGAATAATTAGTATTATTAGCCTGCCGCACCACTGATCGTACACAAGTGAGCATTGATCTTGTGACCCATGATTAGTCATATGTACACGTTGACCAAAAGACCGGAAATAATACACTCTACACTTTCTAAATAATGCTATTATTGATTTTGTTTCATCTGCAGATGGAGTGTTTCCCCCACCTTCGAGATGCTACCGAACGCATTGTGACTGAACGCATCAAGGAAAGACAATCGAATGCCCGGGATAAAATTAGCCTTCTCGTAGACATTCAACTAGCTTACATCAATACTAACCACGAGGATTTCATCGGATTCGCAAGGTAACAATGTTATTTCTAACCCACCTAGATCGTAGTTAAAGTAGGATTTCATGATATCTCTCTAGAGGGAAGTAAATATGAACCCTCAATTCATTCTAATTGAAGTTCCACGAAATCACTTTTCATAATTTATCTTTTCACATGGTTCAGCAGTTTATTTGGGTAGATCCTTGTTTTGATCCCCAGAGTCAATCATCGTTATCCGATCTCTTGGTTAGATCGTGTAAACGTATCAATAATTGTAACATATAGTGAGCAATTGTTAAACAGTCAGCCTGATTTCCCCAATTTTCCTAATTAATTCTAACTTCAGTAGTCAGCATTATTTATTAATCATATTAATCAGGTACAGCAGTTCGTGATTTAATCCTTTGATATTTGTAACCGGGATTAGAAAAAAGTCTCTCCTCTTTTAGGGATTGAAATGCTATTTTCCCATTGGCCATTTGATTGCTCTCACAGAAATTAGGTAAATTTATTTCCGTCTAGTGTGGTATTACAATGTTGGTTGAGTGTTCTTAGCAATGTGTTTTGCTTGAATTAAATTTTCATTATCTATTTATTTAACAGGTGATTAAAATCATTTTCTACATTGGCTCCATTGTTGTCTTTACACTGTTGCAATCTATATTTCCATCTGAAAATTCTCCCATGGTAGAATTTTTTTGGGCCGTCTCTTACACCAGGAAATTACATGCAAGACGCAAATCGGGTGCCTTTAAGTAATTTTTTCAGTTTTGGCAATTAAAAAGGTATGAGAAAGCTATGCCTGGGCTATAAGTAGGATATGGAAGTATTTCCAATTGAAATTTGAGCATCAGGTTCCTGACAGCTCTTGAAGAATGTGCAGAGGCAGTGTCATGATGAGGTAACTTCTTACTGTGCAGTTTCTCACAACTTTATTTGGCGAAGGATGTCTTCAACTTCTTTAAAACGCTATCATAATAACTTGGCATGACCGGTTTCTTTCTTTTCTCTTGAATTCAAAAAATAGTAGTCATTGCCCTCTTAAAAGGACCTTTCAGGTTAGAACCTGACAATTTCCGATGTTCCAGACGGATGTCACTCTTCTGATCGAATTTTGTTTTCTGCCTCAAATTGGTTGATCTAGGTTTCATCTCCTTTAACACAGAGCTTAATAGAATTATCCGCGTTTGCTTCCATCTTCGCCAAAGAAAGTTCAGCTCTTTGGATCAGTTTCGTTCCTGCAACACTTTTGGCACCCACTGTGAGGAGCGAGGGCTTGCTCAAGCCAAGATTTGGAGTGGGATTTGATAATGGTGATCCATGTTCTATTCCCGCTGGGGGGGGGGGCAAATGCAGATAACAACAAGTGAATACAAAGCAGTCTAAGATATTTCTCCAAGGTTCAATAAAGCCATGTGCATATTTCTCAGATGTACTCTTGGTGTTAAGGGGTTAGTTTGGACATCGATTTCTGTTGAAAGAATCGAAAGTTGGTTATCGCTTAATTAAATCGCTGAGATGGAAAAGGCAAAATGAAAGTAATTAGTGTTGACATTTTACACCCCTATCATCATTCCATCTCCACTACACCAATATGTATTGCCTAAATAGCAGGTTGTCTTGAGACTTTTCTTATTTTCCTATTGGACAATTTCGTGTCTTTTTCAATTGTTTTTTTTGTTCTTACGGTCCAATCGAGTGTAATGTAATGGAAGGGGGGGGGTGGGGTTCTATCATTTTTAAACTCAATTCCCCCTTGATACTTTTAAGTACAAATTAATCCTTGGGTTTCATTTTACTTTCCCATGAAATCAATGCGATTTTCCCCAAGTTCAATAGTCAATACTACTTTCAATATGTGACATTTTCCAAAAGAAATTCTTAAACTGAAACATTTAGCACTTTCCCAGTTAATGAGGATAAGACTTCTTCGTTTTACACAACAAAATTTGAATTTTATGTAATCTCCTCTATTCGTTTAGTTTGTAATTTCGTTGCATATATTTTTAACCCCAAACGATTGTGTTTTTTCTTCTTTTTAGTGCGGAACAACAATCGTCTGATGTAAACAAAGTGAAGCTGGGAAATCGGGTATGTATTTAATTTTAACATAATTATTACATTTTGACGGTTTAAGTTGTCGTTTTGAACAAAGTACTTTATTTAGCCTTTCCTACACCTTTCCAGGTAACTATGTTAAAACTAAAGTTCAGGTAAACAAAAGTCTCTTTATATGGCGATTGGAAATTGAATTATTATGTTTAGCACTAGAGGGAAAGGGTTATCTATTAACTGGCCAATTAAAAACTAACAGATTAAGCGCCTTGTTTTAGTTTGCTGCCTTAATGCTCATGTTCGGGAGTCTAAACTAAAAATCGATAATTGAGTTTATAGGATATGAAGAGTGATGTGCTAAAATTGGACTAGAGGTAATTCCCTTCGAATCTAACTTGGAAGATGAATTACCATAATGGTTGTTCTTCTTGTCTTTAACTACAATGGGGAAATTTTGGAACACCATAACAAGCCTTTGAAAATTTTCTGCCTTGATAAAAGGAAATGATTTTGTTTCATTATCTCTGTGGCCATTGAATGTGGAGTTAATTGGTTTTAAATGTTTAATTTCCACATCAAACTATTCATCTTATCTGTTTTGAAAATTGAAAATTTCATTTCTCATATAATACTCAACATTACTAACTCCAATTTTGTCTACATAGACATTTGAGCATTAACAAAACCACTGTAGATCCTGCTCAATCGACTAATAACCGCTTTGTTAATCAAATTTAATGACAACCATGTCAATCCGAGCTTTTGTCATTTTATGAACTATTTCACTCATTCCAGCGTAAACATCGCTGTTTTCATCTTCATGTTTAATTAGGTTCAGTGAATCCAATAGATGTGAGTACAATGATCTAAGTATGGTAAGAAGTGCCTTCCAACAAATATCTTGTATTGAGGAAAAATATTCTGTCACTTCTTTGACTTAGAGACTATCATTAGCCACTAGGAAAGGAACATAATAGGCTTTAGTTATGGAGATCGGCACTGTTATTTATACTCAGGAGAGTTGGAAAAAAATGGAGATTTGACCAAACAAGGCCAGACCACTGACCTGACCAGAGCAGATTTGTTAATACAATTAGAAATCTATTTAGTTGCGTTTAGTCAAAAAATATTGGACTAATCATTGAACTCCAATATCCCAATGGGTTAAAATGTGGTTGGTCTATCGAAAAATGGCAATTAACCTCTGTACCCCGACCTGCCAACGTTATGACCGACCGATGGGATGGAATTAATATTGCATTTCACGTGCACCTCCAAGCATTTTTCGCTTTTTAATTTATTATTTTAATTTAATTTATTATGCATTATCGGATTCCATTTTTTCCTATGTTGTGTCGTAATCCAACCTTTTTGAATTCATCAGTTTTTTTTTGAGATGTTGCTTATGTATGTACCCAATAGATTAATTTAAGAGGCAGGGTTTTCGAGTGTTCGCCGGGGGTACCAATGTCCATAACCTATCATTTCAGACCGCTGAATTACCCGTCGTAAGCCAAATAGAGTGCGTGTTGCAGTCTGTTTTCATATTTTTAATATAAAATAAGTAAAAGCAACGGGAGGCTCCTTGGGCATACCTCATGTGTCCTGAAATCTTATGAAATCGAGGGATTGCCGAAAATACGTTAGTGATGCTTCAAAAACTTTTCTTGGGAGGGGGGGGGGGTTCTAAACACGGAAATCTATCACTGTATATTCGACAATGTCGGAAGGAAATCTGAAAAAATAAATATTAGTTGTTTCTCTTTTTTTCCTACTCATTAATTGATATATTTCCTTAATCTTTTCGCTTCACCAATAGCAAACAAATTCGGGTTTCTCACGTCACGTTTTTGACTGATTTCACATTTAGTAAACCCTCTTAAAATCTTCCATATTTATTCAGTGCAGTCGATTCTTTGTATTAATGCTAATATTCACTTACCCTTGATAATAAATAAGCCTCACTCACCAACAATTATATTCCCAATGCTATTCTTGTCACTATCTCATCGCGCAGTTGGAGCGACAATTCTACTTTCGTCAAAAGTGGTTTATTACCTCAAACCTATCTGTTCCAGCCCATTGTGATCTAAAATATTCCTTATTCATATCGACAAGGCAAGTAAATATGTGTTGAGAAAACGAAAGAGTAAGAAAAGGAGGAAGTCGTCAAAATTTTTATTTTTGTATCGTAAAAGATCCGAAATTGAGGAGGAGGAGGAAATATGATCAGATCTGAAACTTAAACTCAATAAATTCAAAAGCACAAATAATGTAAGTTGAAAGTCTGAGTAAAAGCTAAATGAACAAAGTACAAATTCGAGTCGGTCAAGAGTTCAATAGGTGGTCAGTAAAGATGGATGTAGGATGGTAATAAGGAGAAAAGAGGAACTCTGGCTACAAATGGTGGAAGGTAGTAAACATCTTGACTAATGTCTGCTCAACCACGCCAGTTGTGATATTGATTGATGACTAATTAACCTGATCTTGCTAATGGCCGCACAGATTCCGGTTCGGCTTTAACTGAACATTTGGGGGGCTTATAGTACTGTTATTACTCCAGTAAGAATTCATAATCCTAACCCAGTGTTATTAAATCTAAGCAAGCTTTTAAGATGTCGGTCTCAAATTTAATTCCACTTATTCATGTATATGTTACAGTTCTCTTTAATCAATTTCTAAAGACCTTCCATTGCTTAAGTGGCCATTGGTTTAACTAAAGCCGATCTCGTCAACTTTCAAAATATGTCAATAGAATGAAACCTCTTTAAATTCTTTTGAATACTTCACATCAATAGGACTACTCTATGTAGTAATTTTACCTTTGTGATAGCATTATTAGTTTAGTTAACTTTGCTTCCGATATCAGCACTAATTAAAGTAGAAGGCATGGGCTGACATTTAAGGGCATCTTGGCACTATCTGATAGATGATTTATCCCTAACATGTGTGTCTAAAACTAATCAATGCAAAATTAGTCATTTTGGCATGTGAATTTACACTACTGCCTTTCACTTAATGCTCTAAGTGAAGGCTCAGTCAGTTATTTATTTTTGGATTTAAAGGTGATTCGCCGTGGGTGGTTGGGTCTGCAGAATGTTGCCCTTATTCGTGGAGGTAGCAAGGATTTTTGGTTCGTCCTCAATGCGGAAACACTTACCTGGTACAAGGACGACGATGTAAATCCCTTCTAATCTCCCCCCTTAAACTTCATCACACCTACTATCGTGTATTTACACTTCCTATTCTACGTTGTTAGGAGAAAGAAAAGCGCTACGTCTTACTCCTGGACGGTTTGAAGGTGAAGGATATTGAATCTAGCTTTTTTGGCAGGAAAAACATTTTTGCTCTTTTCTACCCGGATGGAAGAAATGTCTACAAGGACTACAAGCAATTGGAGTTGAGCGCTGAGTCAGCGGAAATGGTTGACTCATGGAAGGCATCATTCATGCGAGCTGGTGTCCAGCCAATGAAGCCTGTTCAACAAGAAGTGAGTGAATGTTTACTTTCCTTCACTGGTGCCTCTTCATTTTTGTTTTGGAATTGAGTCTAACTATACTTAGATTTAAAGCTAGCTTCTTTTTTTGTTTAAATACGTCGGTGTGCCCTTGGCAGAGATTCTTGCGAAAGTCATTCATTACGATTACCTTGTAATTGTGCTGAATTCTATTTCTATGGAATCCTTTCAGTGCGAAATTATGGCCCCAATTTTGGTGAATGAAACCAAAAGAAATTTCAAGCCCTCTCTAGTCTAGCTACTTATTAACTAATTTTTATCACATTTGAAAGTATCTGGGAAATAATTTCAGTTTAAAGTGATTCTTATGCTATTAAATGATAGAAGTAAACTAGAATAGATATAAAAGTCGAAGGCTTTTCGTTGTATTTTTTTCCAAATGAGAATTTATAACCTCAACCCTAAAAATGGGCAACATACCACTTCATTAACCTTCAATGCACCCTTTAATACTTAGTAGAATTTTTTGCTCCATCCTTTCTCTTCGATGCTAAAATCGTAAGCAGTTGTTGGATATCATTTATGATTAATTTGACATTTTGCGAAAAAAGAGATTTAATTGTCCTTAATTATAAAAAAATGATAAAATTGGCCAGAAACTTCTGAACACCAGTGGCGATTGTTTGCTCTTATCCAGGTGGTCCCTTCTCCTTTTATTTATTATTGAAGAACTAACAATCGGCTTCAGCTGCTTACCTCATTCGAACATAGTTCAATTTGTTTTTGATAATACATTTAATAACAAAAACAGCAGCAATAACAAAAATTCATGGTCGATGATGTTGCACTTCTCTAATTTGCTTTGATTCGACCTCCCATTGATTAACATGGCAGATTGTTTGAAAACGTCTTCACATTATTGGGATTTTAACACTTTTATTAATATTTTATATTTCGATTGGAAGGCCTTTTGATAGTTATCATTAGCTGAGAAGGAGGAACATCAAAATGACAAAAAGTCGAAAGGAGGGGACAGAATAATGATTCACAGATGTAAAAGAGACAGATGCATAAGTGCAGAGAGAAAAGGTAAGATGGGTACTGTGGAAGTTGTCGAATGTGACATACAGTGTGACTTTTTGCCGTATGAGTATACGTTGCCCAGGGTGCACCACGTGGAGGTAAGTCTATCGCACACCCCCCTTTTATTAATATAAGATTACGAAAGTATCGATTTGAGATTTGTTATTTCTTATTGGCACTTGAGAGTCCTTTTCATTCTTTTGTTATTTTGAATATCCAACCACATTGGCATCTTTTAAACCGTGGTTGGTAATGGCCATTTTCAATAATGCCGCCTTTCATTTCGCTCACTGCCTTCTTATTCCCTTTAAGAAAGTGGAAGAACAATCGGATAATGGTGACCCTCAGCTACAAAGACAAGTTGAAGTTATTCATAATCTCGTTGACTCCTACCTTAAAATCGTTCACAAAACTCAACGTGATCTCGTTCCAAAAATGCTCATGTACATCATTGTTAATGAGGTAGGTACTGCTTTTCGGTGTCACAATGCAAGCAATTATAATCCAAATAGTCATTCATTGTATAATAGTTTTTTAAATAGTAAAATTCACTAATTATTTTGAGCGTGGAATAAGGCTGATTCAAAGTAGCTTAATTGTTGTGTGTCTTTTACTTACAGATGAAGGAGTTTTTGAAGAGCGAACTGTTGCCGAACCTCTATCAGGCTGGTGATATTGTAAGTGCTTACACCTTTCTCATTTTATTATGCCGATCTAATCCTCTCTGCTGGTTATTTGTTTTCAATTAAAAAATTCCAAATATGTGGCCAACATCTATTGATGCTAGTTGGCAACCTTGTATTGGAGAGAGATATATCAATAAAGGAAGTGCCTCTAAAGGAAAGTTTTTTCTTACCTCGCCATCTACGGATTAAGTGCGTAGAAAACTGACTAAATGTGACTTTTCGAATCATAGTCAAAAAAAGACAACCATTAGGTGGAATGTATATTTTCGAATAGTAGAGAAGAAATAATGGACTCTTTCGGCCGGTGGCGTAGTGGTCAATGTGCATGTCTACTACCAAGTAAGAATTCGAAGGTTCATTACTTATTCAAGTACATCTAGTAGTGATCAACTGACCTGCTTTATTTTTGCTTGCTTCCCATGATGGTGACCCATGGTATCTCTTTGCAATGATCAAGTGTGCTGAACCCCTTATCTATAACACTTTTGAATAAGAATTTTTATTTAAAAAATTTCTCACTATTGATTGACTTTAAAGAGGTTTGCCCTAGAATCGTGAGTTTGAATCGCAATCTCCTTGCGTATGATGGCTCTTAACGTCTTAAATAAGCGTTAACATAGTCTTCAAACGATCTGGTTTGTTTTCCAATACCCAATAATCGCTTAATATTAAAATGCTTAATTCATACCTAGCTGATGGGGTGACAATTAAGAGTATTTTTTAACGTTTTTCTGCATATTCGCTCGGAAGTGAATGTGTACAATTCTCGTTTCTGTTTGTTCCATATCATCTGGGTCAGGTTATTTGAGTACTTCGGTGGCAAATTTGTTTTCCACTTATTGTTTAAAATGGACGAAAGTCACTTTGTTTGTGGTATTCCTGCTAATTGTGTTTCTTTTCGCTCTTCGTTAACAGCAAGTTCTGATGTCAGAGTCCTTGGAGATGCAAACCAGGCGAGAAGAGACACTTCGAATGTACGAGGCTCTGAAGGAGGCTTTGCGTATTGTTGGTGAAGTGGCCACAAATACTGTCTCGACGCCCGTTCCACCTCCCGTTATGGATGATTGGACCCACAGCACCGCCTCACATGTGAGCATTTCAATTTCAGTCTGTAAATAAAAACACGATCAATTCAAATCCCTAGACGCCGCTGTCAACGGGAACCTCTGCTTCGTCGGAGGTCATGGAACTGATGTTTTCTAAATGGGCTTGGAATTAATATTTATGTGGATGGTCAACTGCTCTGATTAAGACTTGTTAATAGCTTCAAGATGCTTTCCCTCTATTCATTTCATTTGATAGGTTCCAGATAATTACAGCAAAGTGCAATTTTCTAAATTCAATCTATAAATTTTGAAAAAGCTAACACTTCAATATTCTATTCTCTTTCTGGGTCTAAACCAACTCCTCCCCCCCCCCCCGCAGATCCTATTAGCTGTCTCATTTATCTTAGTGCTTACTTGGAGTAGGTTATTGGTGTATGTAATAGGTTAGCATCACTTGAGTTTTGTATGACAGCTTTTTACGCTTCCTGCTTCGTCCGAAGCCACTTACTTGCGTGAAGATCCACTATATCAGTCTTACTCTCGAAAAAAATATTGACCTAACATCTTGATGTGCGAATAACTCATTAGTTCATATACATTTAAATACGAATTTGTTCAATCATACTCTATAGATTTTGGCAGCTAAGAAGTTTTACATTCTATTAGTCGATATTCAAACTAAGAAGAAGGAAACCACAAGTTACCATTGGTGCGTCGAAATATTATTGCACTTCCACTCGAACTGGATAAAGTATAATGTATTTCATACCATTTCACTTCAACAATCTATGATTAAGTCGTTATTTCAGTAATAATGGGAAGAAAACATAAAATCTTATAATAATTGTGTCCATGTTAGGTACTTCAACTTATTCATAATTATATTTCTCCCCTGATAATAGACAATTGTTGAGATGGGAGTCGATTCTCCCAGATCAAGGGGGTCGTTACGCTATGTTTCTCTTTGTCATTATAATTACTATTATGATTGCAAAAAATTCGGCAATCATTTAGATGATTAGATAAGACGACATTTTCTAAATTATCAATGCTACCTTTTAGTTTCATTGCAAAACCCATCTAAGAAGAAGTGCTGGTTGGTGTATGAGTCTCCCTGAGTTAATAAAAAATACATTTAACCATCACTTAGACCATCAGTTTTGCCAATGGGTCTGGTAGTTTCATCGTGGTTAATGCTTTACGCAGACCAATAATGCTTTTGAATCACGAATTGATGTAGCTATAGTACTTAGCCACATTTGGGAATAATAGTCTAGATTATTCATGAGTGGCTTAATAACTAGCACATTGTATTTACATATTTCAGTTTGGTGGGGGAGGTGACTCAAGCTCTTCGTCCTCAAGCCTCTTCCCTAATCTCAGTGGAAGTGCCGGTGGAGGTACAATGCAACCTCCACGAAGTCCTGGCGGTACACGTCGACCCCCACCTCAGCCACCAGGTGCTCCTCAGAGGCCAAATACCTCGGTGAATCGGTCTAATGCTCCCCAGGGTACTGGTACTCTACCTTCACCGCTTATTCCTCAGTGAGTGTCTTTGCCATTATTCGTT